CTTTCGAATGTTTTCTTTCTATTTGCGGTGAGAAAATGTCTAAAGGCTTTTTAAAGTTCTGTAAGCTTATGTAAAACTGATATTTGGTCAGATCATTGTCTCAAATCTAACAAACGTGAATAAACTAAATAGCCTCATAAATTACGCTCGACTGCATTAAATTAGATATAAAAACAAACATCAAATACAATCATTACTCAGGCTTACCATTCGAGATTCAGCGCCTGAAAGGTATCAAGTAACGCCAGTATCGCTTCAGACTTTTCAACCCTCTTACGCATCAAGCAAGGTGAAAAACGAAAATGATGCCATCCGAAACCGGATTCCCGACTTTGACAAGTGAAGTATTTCTCAACCAAAAACCCAATAAACAAATTAGCCATGAATATATAGAAGACTCCTGATAGCACCTGAATTTCATTTTGTACATCCAGTGAAAAAGACAGTTAAAAACATCCAAGTTGACACAAAACTCTGTCAGCTTCAGTTGTCAAAGTAAACAAGATTCAAGATGCTGGATAAATTTTTCGCATGAACTCACATGTCAAATTTTGACCAATCAGAGCATAAAAATTGGACGTAGAGCATGACCAACGCGTGACCATGGTGAGCAAAGTCAAGAGCAACTGTCTTCCCTGCCTGTAATAGCTGGCTGAATTTTCGCGTCCGAGGTCAATTTGAAATAAAAATTTTAATTGTGCGGCACATTAACACAACATATTTCATGTGAATTTGAAAAAAAATTAAACTTGAGCCTGGTATCATTTGAAAACTAGTAACTTCAAAAAATGCTTGACCTCGATGGGTCGACACCTGATCCTGCGATACTGTCAAGCGATACTGGTCAGCGGATTCCCTGTTTTGACAACTGTCAATTGATCACAACATTGATGTCCAATATGTGTGCATTATCAGTTTTCCTGTGCTCCCAAACTAGCTAGAAATTATGAGATTGAACATTGATCGCGATATAGTAAAACAATTAACTGATCAGCGGCCAGCTTCCAAATAAATCAAGTCACCTCCATGAGTTGACACATGAGCCCACGATATGTTCATGTGATACCGGTCAGTGGCTATCATGTTTTGACAGCTGTCATTTGACCATATTGTGAATGCCCAATATAAAAGATGTGGATTTGCCAAGACACGACTGAGGCATCCCTCCCTTCCTTTTAATAGTCTCCCCTACCCCACCCGTACAATCTGTAGCTCCGCTCGGTTCTGTAGCTCCGCTATAAAAAGGCGTATATGGAGAGAGGGGAAAACCCCTGTGGGCGCTAACATGCCCAAGCCTAGATGACCAAGTTGAGTTATTTAGCGACCATACAACTACAACCTCAGTGGTTGTTGTAATTTGAGCGGTTGACTGTTAGCTGGCGTACGGTTATGGCGTCACTTATTGATTTCCGTGTTACCTAGATTCCTTCAAATTTAATTTTTAAACTCGTTTAAACAAACTGCGAAAATTAGCCGTGAACCTTGAAGAATTAAAGCCATAATACATTAAAAATTTCCAATATGAGAGAGATGCAATAAATATAATTTTTACTAAATTGCAGTGTACGGAAACAATATACGGCACAGTGTTATCCATGCACAGTTCACAGAAATACAACTTAAACAATGGCAGCTGTAGTCTGCAAACTTGCATAAAGACCATGAAGTTTAGCGGGTTGACAACTGAGAATTTGAAGGAATTCAGAAGCAGAATGAGATTTGCAACAAAAACCCATACCGTCACTTCAAAGCCCGGAGTCTTTGCTTCGTAGGTAGCGTTTGTCCGTGGCCCTCAGTATCAGTGTCTATTTGTGTGAAAGCTACATTTCTGTCTGTTGAAATGCGACTTTTCTGCATTGCCCGTCCAAGAGATTGGAGAGAAGAGAGCGAAGCTTGCTTTAGGGGGGGATTATAAAAGAAAAATTTCAAAAAATGAAAATTTCTACGGTGTGGTCTTGTCTCTCGTACAGTCTAATTGATTTCCGCACGGAAATAAGAATTTTAGGGTACATCTATAGGACTACGTTTAACTTTGTAAGGAAATGCAAACTTTTAAAAAGATTACATACTTAGTCCACACTACAGCGATGTTTATCCACTCTACTGATCTTTTACAACGATCGCTTATATCAAGTCAAATGCGAGCTTGACTGTACGTTTTTACCTCACTGAGCAGCGAGCATTGGTGGACTTAACAAATGGTTACTGACAGTATCGACCAACTACACAAACAAATTTTACGTGCTTGTACCGTAACCACTGGCTTACCCATATTCCGGGGGTATTCGTCTTCTGGGAGCCGTTCCGTTAGTTATTAGGCTTGAAGTGAAAATTAAAGCAGTGCGTGGCAGCTTTCCCATGCAACATGTCAGTATGCTTTCATTGGACTTCCACTTAAATACTTGACAGTCATTTCCTTATGACCGAGGAAGTGATCGGTCAAGCATTTAATTGAGGGAGTTTTACCGTTATTGTTAGTAATGTGTAGTGCCAGAGCCTGTCTTGCTTGATCGCCTGTCGGGTCTTAAGACTTCTACTTGAAATGCATATTTATCAGTATTTATCAAGATTCTTATTAATATTTACTCTTTTCGAGCGTCTGAGCGTCCTCTTAACACTGAAAAATGTTCAGAATAATGTGTCACAAAAAAATGGAAATGACGTCACTAAACAACTTAATCTACCTTGACGATAAATTCTGTAACGTGTATTATCACAAACATTAATTCCAAACAAGTTTAATTTTGCCTAGTTCTCGTTGCTTCCATGCTAAGTGCCTGGCTACAGGCTCGAAGTAGAGCGTTTCTCTTTAGCCGTTTTCCGGTCCTGTCCCCGTCTTTAAACGACTTTCTTGTGTACAGATGAGTGTGATCTTTGGCTGCGAACCTGGAAGAGATCATTCTCGCAGTTCTTTAGGAAAAGCACATAGAGCTCTAGAGCCACGAAGCGTAAATTGCTCTCTCCAGCGTGGAAACCAACTGTTCTGCACTTAGAGGGAGTACACTGAAATTGTCTAGGGGAACGCAGTAGCTAGGCTCTTTGAAATTTAGTGGTCGAAACTATTTTTTCAAAAATCAGCTGTGCGTTGCGAAGTGAAAAAAGCAGTGTGAAAAATTTAATTGAGTCACACTTGTCAGAGTTCTTAAGTCATTTAACGCATCTTGTCAAGAAGAAGGAGAAAAAAGAGCAAGATCTCAAAAGCTTTAACCGACGGTTTTTCGATCTTGTCTGCATGTAGTTCTTTACATTGCGTTTATAAAAATTTGCATGTAACTCAAGTGACTGTCTCTATAGAGTATTATACTTTTATTTTTGGCGGCATTGTGAAGGTTATTTCTATGATAAGTTATAATTTTAGTAGCTGTAAACTAAAAAAAAAATACTAAAAATTTGCATGGATGTTTTGTGTTTTGTAGCTCTGTAGAGGTTTTACGAAATTTGTAGTTTTTTTGTATTCATTATTTAAGTGTGAAAAATTAATAAAAGTTGTTAAATTACAAAAAATGTAGTTCTCTCCGCTAATTTTCAAAGTCATTCCATTACATCCAAAGTTTTTCCTGCCTATCCCTTAAGAAGAGAATCTGTGGAGTGATGGAAGTAGAGTAGGGACTTTCAAGAAGGACTTATTAAAAGAGATTGGGTACGACTACGAGTTTCGTTGGAGTTTTAAACCAGACAATTCGTGTACGCGCTTTAACCGCAGGAGTTTAATGTGTATTTGACTACTAGATAAATCCAGCAGCCTGTAGCTGAGCACCGCTGTAAGGTAGTGTGTTTACTTAGCAAGAACTGTATCTCCTCTTGGTGAAAAAAAAAAAAACAAACAACAACGACAACATTGGCAGAAATCTATGACCACGGCCTTTTCGTATGGATGGAGCTAAGCGAGTTGTTACAAAAGATTGTTTGGACATAGATGGATAATAGAAAAAAGTCAAACCCTGTGCGATATAGCAGACTGCACTGTTTTATTGTTTTAACAATGCAGTCTGCTATATACAATTGGTACTCAGTCTTATATATGAAGATATTTTGTAATGGAAGGCAGTTGCTACTCTATGTACGCACTCGGGGATTTGAAATTACTCGCCCGATTACTCACTACACCACCATTACTTATTTAACCTCTGCGTAAGGCTAGCTGGGACAGAGTAAATAACTAAAACAAATAGTATTAGTGAATACAACACTATTACAGAATCTCAAATGAGGGACTGGGGGCAGTCCCGGGCTCGGTTGCATAAAACGTCCGTAACAACAACGGGTACACGTACGTGCACTCGTAACTTAAGTCAGTTGCATGAAATCACTTAACTGGTCCACTTAGGGAATTCACTCAAATGGTTGCACTTACGATTTTCGTAAGTGTTCACTTACGTGTCGTTTATGCAACAGAAATTGCGGGTGTTGCATAAAACTTTTTTTACGGGAAAAATAGCACGTAATTTTACGGGACCTATGTGGGTCCCGTATCGTTACTGTTTTTACTAAATTTAACGAGATCTTTTACTGAGAAGTGAAAAAAAGTATTTTTCTTCTCGTAATTCGTTCTAATGCGCTTTGTTAACCTCTGATGTACACTTTTGTGAAAAAAGAAGACGAACTATCATTTTCAGTAGATATTGAAGAAAAATAACCAATCAGTTAATGGTTTTCAGGGTTCTCAACCCTTTATAACAGATAATGAATATAAGAATTTATCTCTTGATCAATTAAGATATATATTAAACGAGAAGAAAAAAACAATAAAGAAAAGTTATAAGGAATTAAATGAAAAAGAAAAAATAATTCGAGATATAAGAAGACTTGATAAGCTTAATGAAAAAGTAAAAAAAGGAATAGATATAAAGAAGAAATATAAGAAAAAGAAAACCCCCATCGTTCGGACGGCTCCTTCTAAAAAAATAAAAACATTTGATGAGTATTTTGAGGAATGTATAAAAAATAAAAAGATTCCCAAAGATACACCAGATTATTCACGTGAAGCTCTTGAGCGTGCTATGAAAGAATATGACCAAGGTCTTGAAAAAGAGAAATCAGCTCTTGAAGATTTTGCCAATAAATATATTATTCAAGGAATTCCTGGTTTTATTCCACAGGATTTTTTAGATGCAATATATAAAACTTTAATAGATTTTTATACCTATCATAGAAATATAAAAACTAAATTAGTATTAGTTTGTATTATGGAAAAAATAACTATTCAAAAAGATGTTGGTATTACAAATATAGAAGAAGATAAAGCATATTTTAAATCAGATACACATTCTAATCTTAAATCAACTAATGTTAAAAAATTAATTAAATTTTTTTACACTGGTATTATTAATTCTATTGAAAATTATGTAACTAAAGGAAGTAATTGGAATTTTAAAGAAGTGGATAAACTAGAAATTCATACTGTTGAGTATAATCCAACAAAGGGTTCATCATATATTGATCTTCCTAAAAAGATAAAAGATAAAAAAGCAATTATTAATATTAAAAATAAAGATGACAAATGTTTTCTTTGGTGTATTCTTAGATATCTTCATCCAAGAGATAGAGATCAAGAAAGAATAGGTGATTTAAAAAAGTATGAGTTTTCTCTTAACACAAAAGGTATTACTTTTCCAATGAATGTAAATAAGATTAATAAATTTGAGAAACTTAATCCAGAACTTCCAGGAATTAATGTTTTTTCTGTAGATGATAAAAATGATATTTATCCTTTGAGAGAAGCAAAAAGAGATTGTAAAAATTCTATTGATTTATTTTTGTATGAAGAAGATGGTTTTTCTCATTACTCATTAATAAATAATTTTCATAGGTTAATAAGGTCTCAAAAAACTGTAGGTGGTAATGGTAAATTATTTATTTGTAAGAGATGTTTTAGTCACTACACTAAAGAAGAATTACTAGATGAACATATTAAATATTGTTCTAAAAATCAAACAGCACTTATAAAAATGCCAGAACCAAATAAATATTTATATTTCAAAAATTACCATAAACAACTACCTATTCCTTTTGTAGTTTATGCAGATTTTGAATGCTTTACCAAACCAATGAATACTTGCAGTCCTAATCCAAAAGACTCTTATAATTACAACTATCAAAAACACGAACCATCAGAATTTTGTTTTTATGTTAAAGGAATAGTTAATAAAAAAATCACACCAATTATTTATACTAAAACTTCTGAAGATGAAGACATTTCAAAAGTATTTGTAGAAAAACTTACAGAAGTAACAAAAGGAATTTATAATGATTTTTATCAAAGACCAAAACCTCTCAGACTAACTAGTGCAGAACAAAAATCATTTGAAGAAGCTAATATTTGTCATATTTGTAATTGTGAATTAAAAAAGGATAAAGTACGAGATCATTGTCATTTTACTGGACAGTATCGCGGTGCAGCACATAACAAATGTAATCTTATGTGTAAAAAACCAAAAGTATTACCAGTTATATTTCACAATCTTCAAGGTTATGATGCTCATCTATTTATTAAACGACTTGCAAGATTAGAAGGAAAGTTAGATTGTATTCCATCTACAGAAGAAAAATATATTTCATTTTCTAAAACTATTAAAGTTGGGGAATATAAAGATTATAGTGGATCAAGTTTTGATATAAAATTTGAAATACGATTTTTAGATTCATTTAAGTTTCTTCAAACATCACTTGCCAATCTTGTTTCAAATTTATCACCGGGTGATTTTATTAATACAAAACATGCATTTAAGTCAAATACAGAATTACTAACTCGCAAAGGAGTTTATCCTTATGACTATGTTTCATCACTTGATAAATTATCTGAAACCCAATTACTACCAAAAGAGGAATTCTATTCAAAACTAAACGATGAAGATATTAGTGATGAAGATTACCAACACGCAATAAACGTGTGGAATACATTTGGATATAAAACAATAAGAGATTATCACAATCTTTATCTCAAGTCTGATGTCCTATTGCCAGCAGATGTATTTGAAAACTTTAGAAAAACTTGTCTTAAACATTACAAGTTAGATCCAGTTCATTATTACACATCTCCTGGTCTAGCTTGGGATGCATGTCTAAAAACAACAGGACAACATTTACAGTTATTACATGATTATGATATGTTAATGATGTTTGAGCGAGGTATACGTGGTGGAATAACACATATATCAAAAAGATATGCAGTAGCAAATAATAAATATATGAAAGGCTATAATCCTGATGAGGAGTCAAGTTATATTCAATATCTGGATGCAAACAATCTTTACGGTTGGGCAATGTCTCAAAATCTACCAACACATGGATTTAAATGGATGAAGAATATAACAAAAGAAAAGGTAGAGGCTATTCTAGAAAAAGCAAATCATTGTATGTTAAATATGGGGCGGAAAGGATATATATTTGAAGTTGATTTGGAGTACCCAACCCATCTATGGGGCACACATAATGACTATCCCTTAGCACCTGAGAAGATGATTGTTAATGGTGTTGAAAAATTAATTTGTCATTTCAAACCTCGAAAAAACTATGTTGTTCACTATCGTAATCTTAGGCAATACCTTGAAATGGGAATGAGAATAACTGCTGTTCATAGAGGAATATCATTTTATCAAAGTTCTTGGATGGAGCCATATATTCGAAAAAACACAGAACTTAGAAAGACAGCAGCCAACAATTTTGAGAAAGACTTTTTCAACTAATGAATAATAGTGTTTTTGGCAAAACAATTGAAAATATAAGGAAAAGGCAAAATATACATCTTATTGATAATCGTAAGAAAGCTCTTAAACTATCAAGCCGTCCAAACTTTGATAGATGCACAATATTTGATAAACATCTTATTGCAGTTCACATGAAAAATACTGAAGTGTATTTTAACAAACCAGTATATGTTGGTCAAGCAATTCTAGATTTATCAAAAACGTTAATGTTTGATTTTCATTATAATTACATACGAGAGAAATATGGGAACAAAGCTGAGTTATTGTTTACAGATACGGATTCTTTAATGTTTCAGATTTTCAAAGATGATTTTTACAAAGATATAAAACCTGATATACTAACAAAGTTTGACACTTCAGATTATCCTCCTAAACATAAATCTGGTATACCAACAGGAGTAAACAAGAAAGTTATTGGTATGTTTAAAGATGAAGTAGCAGGAAAACAAATTACTCGTTTTGTTGGGCTACGACCCAAACTTTATAGTTTTGATATTGAGGAGGATAAGGAAGTGCGAAAGTGTAAAGGGATAAAGAAAAATGTAGTAAAAAAGAAATTAGATTTCAATGATTATGTTAAATGTTTATTTTCAGTTGAGAAAGAATTGAGAAAAATGAAAATTATAAGAAGTGAGAAACATGATATATATTCTAAAGAGGTTAACAAAATAGCTCTGAGTAATGAAGATGATAAAAGACTTGTCTTAGAAGATAGTGTGCACACTTTTGCTTTTAGATAAAAAAAATAGTTTTAAGATAAATAAGTATAAATAATAAATGTCATATACAGAAGAAGAAATAAAAACATATTTAGAAATATTAAATAATTATAACAAACCTATGAAGCAAATTAGTCCAAAATCTAAATGTTTAGGTTGTCCAAATACAGAAAGTTTTACCATTGATTCTGGCTACAAAATCTGTGATGAATGTGGTACAGCAAACGGGCATGTATTAGGATTTTTTGATTTGAAAGATTATGATAGGTTGCATTATAGAAAAAAGAGTATTTATCATCGTAAACACCATTATGAGAAAAAGGTTAATCAGATTTCTAAATTAATAAATCTTAATGATGAACAGAAATGTGAACTTTACGACAGACTAATAAAAATAGATAATTACATCATGGAAATACTAAACAAGCAATACTTCAGAAAGAGAATGATAAATATTAATTATTTAACCAAAAAACTTTTGGAGGAGATGGGGTGTGAAAAGTATAAACTTATTGTACTTAAGATTAGTCCTCAAACTTTAGAGATTTACGAAAAGTGGTGGAACAGTTATAAGAATTTAAAGAAATAATATATACAATTATAAAATGAGTAATCGAGTTGCTTATACACCTAAAATTGAAGCAAACGAATTGTTTTTACAAATTCAAGACGGAGAAGGTTTTTTATTTGAATATTTTTTTGAAAGCTATAGACCACCAGATGGAATATCTGAAGAAGATTACATGAAAGAATTAAGGGAAGAGTACTTTAAGTTAAAAAGAGAAGAAGCAAGAAGATTGTTAGGATTAGAATAATTTTATATTAAAATTTAATATAAAATTTAATCTTCCAAATATCTATAATCAATATCAATTACTTTATATAGATCTAAAAATGCTTCTTTTTTGAAAAATAAATCACCAGCTATTTCATCATCTAATTCTACTCTTTTTAGTACATCAAATACTACTTCAATATCTAAACTTCCGTTTTTAATTTCATCTTTTAGAATTTTTATTTCCTCTTCATACTTACTTTCATCAAATTTTTCATAAGTTATCCTCCATGAATCTCCTTGATGTTTTACAGTATAGTTAACATTTCTAAATTTAATTACTATAAGGTTTCTTAAAAACTTTTTTTGTTCCTCTTTCATTTCTATAAATTCTTTGAGTATATAATCATCATGCAAAAATTCATATACTTCTTTTAGTAATGTATGTCCAAGTCTTTCAACATCTTTTTTTCTAATAATAACGGCTGCCATTTTTATATTATTAATTATATTATTCCTTTATGAAAAATCCAGTAACATATTCCAGTGAGATAACCAATTACTTCACTATTTATTGGAGAATCAAATGCATATACACATCCTCTTCCAAGTTTGTATTGTTTACGGAAAGATTTAAAAGCTCTATAAAACATAGGATGATTGTTTAGTATGGGATTACTAGATTTAATAGATCTATTTTCTAATTTATAAATTATTGTTTCAATATCTATAAATTTCTTAAAAGTAGTTTCATATAAGAATCTGTAAATCAGTGATGTCTTTATAAGATTTTCAGAATATGGAAGATGTTTGAGAGTAGGGTAGTAGAAGTTAACATAATGAACTATTGTATTTATCATTTTATTACTAAATATATTAACTTTAAATTGAGATTTAAAAATTTAATAATAAGTAATTAAAATGCGTATAGAAATTAATCCTAGATCTTTGTTAAATTTAGAGCATATATGTGAAGTGTTATACAAACTTCATCCATCTGTTTTAGATGACTTGGTTGAAATGGAAAGATCTTTGGGTGATATTCTTGGGGTTATTGATTTGAATAATTTATCTTTAAAAGAAAGAGAATTCTTATCTGATAATTATCAAGAAGAAGATTACTCAAGTGAATCAATTACGCAAGATGATAAAGGAGTTAAAGTTACCACTAAAACTTTTGATAATAGAGAAGATGCTATTAAATGTTTAAATGAATATAAATCTAACAATCCAAATGTTAAAATATTAAATGAATATAAAGATGAAGATGAAGATGAAGATGAAGATGAAGAATTTAAAAAACAACTCAAGAAGTTTAAAAATAAATATTTTAATGAAGAAAAATTAAATAGTTATCATTTTCATAATCTAAGAAAATATCTTCAACTTGATACTTATGAATACATTCCTATGAAAATTTATGTTGAAGTTGAAGATCCAGTTATAGGAAAAAAAGTAAAAGAATTGGTTGAGGCGCTTGAGAAAACTAGAGCTCCAGAACAGTTTTATTTAAATAAAAAAGAATTAGATGAAGATGCTTATTTTGCTGAAGGTTATGGTCTTACAATGAATGAGGAACAGGAAAAACAAAGAGATGATTTCTTTTGGGGTGAGGATGTTGAAGGACTTAAAGAACTTTTAATAAAGGAAAAGTTATATCCTTAAATTAATATTTAAAAAATAAATTATAATTATATAAATGGTAGATATAAGTTGTGTTAAAAAAATTACCTCAAATGAAGTAGAAAAATGGGGAAAAATTAGATGTTCATTATTTGTTGGAAATGATATAATAAAACTTACTTATAGAGAAATTAGTTTATTAAATAATGATAGAAAAAACAATCTTTTTTTAGTCTACATTATCTAAAAATGAAAAGAGATTATATATATCTTAAAATTTATCACGATAACATAAAAAAGACATTATCTAATGAGAAACTATTAAAATATTTTGAATCTGTTTTATTATCTCACGGATTTGATGTGACAAAGTTATAAAATTGAATTATTGGTTTAAAGAAATAAGAGTATAAATAAAAATGCAAGAGAAATCTTTTATTAATTCAAAATTAGGAATAAAGTTAAACTCATACATCGATGACCAATGTAATGTATGGTTTCAAGCAAAACAAGTTGCTCAAATATTAGGATACAAAAACACAGTTGATGTTATAAAAAGACATGTAAGTGAAAGTAATAAAATAAAAAAAGTTCACCAGCGTGAAACACGCGGTTGTACTTTTACCTTTTACATTAACGAAGCTGGTTTCTACGAACTTGTTTTTAGATCTAGATTACCTGCTGCAAAAATGTTTCGCCAGTGGGTGTTTTCCGAAGTTCTTCCTTCAATTCGTAAATATGGTTATTTTAAAATGTTTAAATCCAAATTAAAACAAAGAGTAATAATTGATGGAAAAAATTGTTATCCTCACCCAGTGTTTTCTAATTACGCTGCAAATAAAAATGGAGATGTTATAAATGTAAAAACTAAAAGAATTTTAAAGATGAAAAAAAGTGATAAAGATTATTTATTTTTTTCTATATGTGATAACAAACTTGAAAAACCAAAAAATTACTATCAACATAGATTTGTATACGAGGTTTTTCAAGGTCCAATACCACATTGTTTTGAAATAGATCATGTTAATAATATTAGTAGTGATAATAGAATAAAAAATTTTCAAATACTTACCCATAAACAAAATTCTGGAAAAAGTAATAATAAACCAATTATTTCAATAAATATTGATAATGGACAAAAAAGAAGATTTATTTCTATTAAACAAGCTGGGTTTGAATTGAATATTAATGCTGATAATATTTCAAAGATCTGTAGAAAAAAACATAAAACAGCAACTTCAAAGAAAGATGGAGAAAAATATACATTTAGATATTCAGATTAAATTTCTAAATAATTATTTATTTAGAAATGTCAAACATGTTAGTAAAAAAGTTTTAAAATAAAGATTTAGGAATTGAGTCAACTTTATATACTATTTAATAACATTTTATATTCCTTTTAGTCTCATATTTCCCATATCAATCAATTCTTGTTTTTCTTTTCTTTCAAATTCAATATCATTATAAAAAATTTTTTTATAATTATTTAAATTTCTAAAATCACTTTTATATTTTTGACATCTTTCGTACAACTTTGGATCAACACCTCTTAAATAACTAATAAAATTAGAATAATCATAAGCTTTTTCCATTTTAAATAAATCATAATCATCAAATTGAGATTCAACTTCTTTACAAATTTCTTTTCCTTCTGAAGCTAAATTTGATTGGTAAGAAGTAATAAATTGTTTTTCTATACTTTCTATTTCTAATTTATTTTTTATATTAAATTTTTCTAAATAATCTTCACATTCTTCGTAAAAATTTTTAGCTAAACTATTTACTTCATCTTTATTTAATCTCAAGCAATATTTACAGTAAAGTATTGTTTTATCAATAATAAATTTATTATCTTCATCAATTAAATGATCTATTGTTCTACAAATATCTTCTCCTTTTTTAACTAAACTATTTTCCATTTTAATATTTATTATTTTAATCTTTAAATCTTTTTTCAAATTTATTTTTATACCTACTTTCAAATCTATCAGCTATAGGAGTCTGATCAATTATCATTTCATCTAACAACTTCATACGATCAACAAACTCTTTTTTACTCCTCTCATCTCCTCTCAGTGCTGCACGTAGTTCAATAAGAACTTTTTCATAATTGGTGAAAGCAATCCTCGTCATTTCAATTTTTCTTTTGTAATTATTTTTTTTTCCTACTCCAGCAATAATAACTCCAGCGCCATTTACAACTCCAAGAACTACAGGGTTAAGTGTTATTCCACCACTAATAGTTCCTATTGCTACCAAACATAACCCAGAGATTGTAAAAAAATTATCAAGAAATTTATAACTCTTATAACATTTCTTAAAACACCAGTATTCCTTATGGTAATGACTATAAAAGTCCTTGAGGGCTTTAACCTCTGATTCTGATAGAGATGGATCTATGTGATTAAATTCAAAGATATCCTTCATTTTATATTTATAATATATAACTTCCATTTAACTTTTCTTGAAGCATTACTTTATGATATTCCATAGAGTCGTCGTCGTGAAAGTTTGTAGAAAACATTATTTTACTTAACACTCCATCTCCAGTTTTAAACACAAACTCTTGGTTGATGGAGTAACGAACGGTTGGTAAACTTAATATTGCACTGTAGTTACTTATTTTAGCTTTTGTAATATTTTGGTTAAAATCTTCCGCCAACCATATAACAATTTTTTTTCCATTAAAATCATTTGGTATGGTAAAAGAACTTTTTAGTTTATTAATATTTAAACTTACTTTATTATTTGAAGAAGAATAAGTTAAATTTAATAAAACTTGTTGGTCATTTGAAAGTTTTTTTTTTATACTAAAATTTCTATTTCTCCCATGATAAAAAACAATACATAAAGTATATTTTGAAGTAACAGTAGGAGGAGAAAAACTAAGATTATAACCATTAACATTTAGTCCTTCTTTTCTTATATTATCTATGGTTTTATTAGGTATTCTCATATCTCTTAAAGTATTACCACTACTTGAAGATAAATTGTTAAAAACAATACCAGATGCGGTACTACTTAATTTGTAATTAGCGGCATTAGTAAAATCATAAACTTCTTCGAAATAATTTCTGTATAAATCATTTATAGTGTGAGGTTTTATTTCTTTTACCATTCCAACTGCTGCAACACTATTGTTAATGTTTCTATCAAGATTGACATTCAATATTTTTTTATTATTTACATTAATATCAACATTGTACACCACTTGTGTTGGTTTGATATCAAATGCTGTGTGATAGTCGTAAACTTTATCTGCATCGATGTTGCTAAATGTTCCCACAATTCCATAAGTAATTATATAAACTCCAAGAAACTGTCTCGGATGAATAGCCAAGTCAGTTCCATCTTGTGGTATATTAACCAAAATGTGAAGAAAGAACTTATTACCAGTTGACAACTTCCGAAAATTAACTATTATTCTATGGTAATACATAAATTGTGATTGTCCCTTTGGATCGCTGTACCTATGGGAGAGTTTCCTTACACTAACATTTCCAATTGATAATCCTGTTGAAGTTCCTTTGTCTACACTTATTTGTGACTTATGCCATAATTGATAATCAGTGTTAAGTATTTCAAGACAAAGGGTATAGTCAACATTTCCACTTAACCTGTAAAAGTTGATTCCCATTTTATACTTGTACCCACCTTGAGAATTTTTGTTTATACCCATAAAAATAACTTTGTGGTTATAATCATGAAAGTTTCCTTTGTTTGGTGCTAAATCTCCTATTCTTTTTATAACAAAACTGGTTCCAGTATCTATTTCATCAGTCCATTGAGACCCACTAGACATAAGATAAGCAAACTGGTCGTTGTAATGACTTGGTTGAACTGTAGTGTGATGAACTAGTTTGTCAGCGTAATTTTTATTTACCGCATCATTGTCTTGGGTTGGTTTACCAAGATTTATTATTTTATTATTACCAACATTAAGATTCCCAGTCATAGCGACAGTACCATCTTTTTCCAAATAATCACTTAAATCTGGAGCACCTGTGTTATCATCAACATATTTCTTTGTTGCAGCATCTGTGTTTGATGTTGGTGGTCTAAGGTGAATTATTTTTTTTATTATCCATGTTTAGATTATTAGTCATTGTAGATGAACCATCACGGGCAACATACTTTAAATCTGTGAAAGCTAATGGTGTTGGTTGATTTCCACCTGTTGGAGCTGGTAGATTAGATATTCGATTATTATCCATATTCAGATTACCTTTCATTGGGTAAGATCCATCTCTGTCAAGAAATGTGTTGTCTACATAATCTTTTGTAGGAGGTTCTTTTCCATCCAGTGGTGTGCTAAGATTTGTAATTCGGTATGTATTCTTCATATCAATATTTGAATCAACTGTTAGCCTTGTTGACGTGAGTCATCTGCTGGATTTATCATCCACATACTTTTTGGTTGCTACGTCATCATTAGCTGTTGGTGTGCCAACTTTAATTATTTTATTATTATTCATGCTTAGATTACCAATCATTGTTCGGGAACCATTTCTATCAAGAAATCTGCTGTCTGAGTATTGTTTTGTAGCCGGCTCATCTGAGTCAACTGGATGTTTTAGGTTAAGAATACGAAATTGATCCTTCATATCAATATTTGAATCAACTGTTAATCGTGATGTTGAGGGTGTACCACTGGAATTATCATCAACATACTTCTTTGTAGCAGCATCATTATTAGCACTGGGTGCGCCAACATTTGTGAGTCTTTTTTTATTCATATCATAATTTCCATTTGCAGTTAGACTAAATCCAACTCCTGGGGCACCCTGAATTCCTTTAGCAAAAGGATGATCAAAAGATTGTTCGTTAAATATACCCATTTTAATTATTAGGTTAGATTACTAGTAAAGTTTTTTGCAATACGTTTTCTGGGTTTATCAACATATAAAAATGTAAATGGTTTTTTTGTTGCTGCTTTATATGTCTCTTTGTCAACTCCTAATTCGGATGATATTCTGTTTGCTTCCCTCGATGATGGAAATTCGTACAGACAGTAGTGAGAACAATTCAGCCGAATATCCTTTGGAGTTTTGTAAACGACTGACTGAGGTATATTACAGAGCAATTCTTATGCCGTCCTTGGATGAAATAATCAATAAGTTGTCTTTGGTTTTTATCACAGACGTAATCATCAAATATCACAAGTTTTTGATTGTCTTCGTAATCCATTTCTGACACTGGAGTTTTTTCATCATTACTAACATGAAGTATTTCATATCCCAATTTACTACTCAACTCCCTCATTTTTTTAATTAAGTTTTGATACTTATCCTGTTCTAGATTACGTGCATAACGATAAATCTCATCATAGTACAACAGTGGTTTAATTAACATATGATACAAAAGATTAGTTTTACCACTTCCACTGTTTCCACAAATTAACATCCGAAATGTGTCTGATGGCATGTAAGGAAATAATTGTTTATATTTTTTATCCGGGTCATCAACACTATCATAGTTTGGTATTTCCATTTATCTATTTATTATATAAAATGAATATTGAAGAATACAAAAAACTTGCAAGAAATAAAATTGAAGCTGACGCTTTAACTCAACAGGTTAGAGATGTAATAAAAATAACAAAATGGCAAAAACAAAATATGCGGGAAGGTTTTAAAGAGACATTTAAACCACTTATTAAATCTCAAGATAGCATTAAAAAAAGTATTGATGAGCAGCAAAACGCAGCTATAGCACAATTTAAAAAAAAATCAACTTGCATTAACATCAGGATTGGAAAAAATTAATGAAACTAATTTAAGATTGGCTGAAATGAGAGAATTACCAGCTTTGGAAGGTGATTATGATGAACCTACAACATCTAGACCAAGATCACCTACACGTTATAACATTGAAAAAAATCTTGACAATGTGGATTTAGGAGTATTGAAGGATATGGGCTACCCAAGGCCAAATGATTTTTTTGATACTAACCCTGAAAGACTTAGAGAAATACGTGATGAAGTAAAAAATGATGTAAAAGTTACTACAGGACAAATAGCTGGTTTGCAGAGAAAAAAACAAAAAACAGAAGATGAAAAAATGGAAATAGAATTTATTCAAATGCAAAAAGATTTACTACATAAATACAAAAACATTCTTGAACTTTATTTAGGTTCGCTTGAGTATAAAATGGGGCAAGGAATGATTTACTTTAACAACCCACATCAACTTCTAGACAGACTTGAATTACTCGGTGGTTCAATTCTTGCTGGGAATAATGGTGTGATACCTGAGTTTTCTCAAATAGCACATCTTCTCAACCAAATGAAAGTAATTACAAAAAAACAACTAAATGATTTAATAGAAACTTATATAACAATTAGATAAAAATGGAAGAACGAGCTATTCACATTTCTTCAATAAACAGGGAAAAAAGAGGAACAAGCAAACCTGGTGATTTTACTATTAAGTTTAATCCATCTTTGAAACTTGACCCTGAAAAGAAACATCAACTTGCTCTTGATCGGTTGTCCATGACTTACTCTTGGTACAACATTAGAAGTGATTATGGAAACAATAAAATCAAATACACTCATGATGGAACCAACTGGCAAACAATTACTTTTACAGATGGAATGTATTCCTACTCAGATATTAATGATTACATTCATCAATATATGTCTCAAAAGTCTCATCACACAACAGATTCGGGTGGAAAGAAAACTTATTCAATTAATCTAACTTTTATACTATCCACCTATCGAGTGTTAGTATCACTTGATGGTGATTATCAACTTGATTTGAGAGGAACAGAATTTGGAGACCTGATTGGATTTGAAAAGAAACTTATTACAAAAACAGAGTATGGATCAAAACTACCAAATATCACAAATTCGATTGATGTGTTAAATATCAACACAACCGCAATAACTGATAGCATTGTAAATGGAATAAATACAAATACCATTGCTGTGATACCAACTGATAATCTTACAAGGTCTTTTCCATTTTCATTTGAACCTAAAAGACCTTTGTATTGTCCTGTATCAACATTTCACATTGATGAAATGAGAATCTATGTGACAGACTCACTTGGAAGACCAGTAGATTTAAATGGTATTGATTGGTTTATGACTTTGATACTCCATTCAATGTAATACTTCGTAGTTATATAACTATTAAAATAAAATGATGCGAAAATCAGAGTTTAAAATGAAACTTGACCCTGAATTGGGGAGATATACAAGACAACATATTTATGGTGAAGGAATGATGAATGTGTTTAAATCTATTGGTTCAAAATTATTTGGAAAGACAATGAAAAAGCTGCTAAAAAAGGTGTTGAAAAAGCACTAACATCAGCTGCAACAAAAACTGGTGAACATGTTGGTAAAAAGGCTGGTGATAAAATAGTTCAAATGTTATCAAAAGGCACTCCCTCCCGAAAACCCCCTGCTAAAAAAGTTAATTTTAATAAAAATGTAGAAACAATAACTCAACAAGAGATAGATCAAATGTTGAATAACCTTATTAGGGGAGGTTCAACACGTAAGAGAAAAATTATATAATTATTAAAATAAAATGAAGTCTTTTAGAAATCCAAATATTTAGACAGATATCAGGATGTTGTATTTGACCTGGAACAGACTCTAGATGCTGCTCCAGCAAATAACGCTCACCAAACTAAAACAGGTCTTAGATTTGTAGCTGATAATACAGGAGAAACTACTCCTTTTGATTGGTATAACGCACGATTATCAATGGATTTTAAAGTAAATAAGCTTGCAGATGGAGGAAATATTGCGGTTGCTGACCATAACGGAATTGTAAATGGTAGTAACTCCTTTATAAAAAAATTAAGTATCCAGGCAAATGGAAGAGACGTTTATAGTTGTAACTACGCAAATCATATTGTAAATATTTAAAATTTGCTAGAGTATAATCCTTCTTATGCTGAGAGTGTTGCTACAAACGAATTTTATTTTCTTGATACATCAACAGCTGCAGAGGAAAGACCTGCTCAAGCAATTTATAATAAAGGTTTTCATAAAAGGAAATTACCATTAGGTGCATCAGCCACAGTAAACTGTGAAATTCCTCTTAATAGATATTCTTTCTTTGAAGCATTGGAAGACAAATTACTTCCAAATACAAAAATTGAGCTAAATATTGAAATTGAAAAAGATGCAAATTTAATTTTTCAAGACGCCGATGATTGTAGAGTTATTATAACAAGACTACAACTTTTTATTCCAAAACTTACGTTTAATTCAGAAGGACAAAAGCTGTACATGGAAAATTATCTTAAACCTTACAAATGGACATATTTGAATGAAGTAGTTGAAAGATCAAATAATACACAAAATCAGACAGGACATTTTAGAATTACAAATGCTATTTCAAAGCCAAGGCATGTATTTGATTTTGGAATTGATACGGCAAGAATTGATGCACAAGCAGCAAATCCATTTTTATACGATACTTTTAATCTACCAAATAATGCTAATATATCAAGATGTTACCTGGAAGTAGCAAATGGAAACGAATACCCAGAAATTCACTTTAAACCTTCTACAGATATGTCAAGAGTTTTTAGAAATGTAATGTCATACGTCTATGCAAATAATGATTATCAAGGTGGAACAATACTTAATAGAACTAATTTCAAAACTTTATTTCCTTTTGTTTATTTCGACCTGACAAAACAAAAAATGGATATCAAAGATGGTGTTACAAAATTAGCATTTCATTACGAATTGTCTGCTAATCCAAACGCTGATTATAATATTTACGCATTAGTCTTACATGAAAGAATAGCAGAAATATCACAGCAAGATGGAAAACTATTGCTTAGAGCTTAATAAAATCTATATTATAAATGGAAGAGGATTATTACTCAGATCAAGATGAAAAAGTAGACAGTAAAGTTAAAATTTATTTTGCAAATAAATTAAAAAATATATTAGAAAATGCTAAAGATTCAGTAAAAGACTAGATACCCTAAAAGAAAGATACCCTAAAAGAAACTACAAAAGTAAACAAAAAATTAGACGCTTTTTATGAAGAGTTAAAAAATAAAAATAAAATTTTTAATACTTTACTAGAAAAACAATATGAAATATTCTTCAAAAACTCCCATGTTAACTAGCAGAAAACAAAATGTTGCTAAAGTAATTAAAACTCTTTTAGAACAAACAAAAGTGATAGGTAAGTATTATCAAAGTTTAGTAAATATAGACTCATCCGATCTAAAAGATTTTTTAAAAAAGTGTATAAAAGGAAATACTAAGGGTAAATTTAAATTAGATTTATATAGTTCTAATGTAAAAGGAAAAAAAATATTTCCATTCGTTCTTTTTTTAACAACAAAACAAAAAAAGCAATTAAAATTAATAACAGATTTTCTTCCAATGTTTGAACTAACTTTGAGCAACACTCAATTTCATAAAACATGTTTTGCTACAATATTATTAAATAGAAATATTTATCACTTAAGTAAATATGATACTTTACCTCCTCCACCAAAAATAAAAAGAATTACAACACCTTTAGCAATTGAAATGAAAAATTTAATAGATTATGATGAACCCCCCAAAACAAGCAAACCAGATCCTACTCTAGCAAGCAAACCAATACCTTTAAATAAAATAATGGAAAAAACGTATTAGATTTTAGCAAAGATCCATATAAAAAATTTACCCCAAATCAAAATATTAAAAAAATACAAACTGAAGTAAGAAAAGCCTTAATAAGAGAAATTAATTACCCTCTTACAAAAGATGTTCTTGGTTTAAAATTAACAAAAGATTTAAAAGAAAAAATAAGTAAACTAACTACAGAAGCAGTAATTGGTTTAACTTGGATTATAAGAGCAATAGTAGAAAGTAATAAGGGAAAATTAAATGTTTATTATATTAACAATAATTACTATCAATTAACTAAAAAACAAATAAAAGAAATTGTTGAGTATTATTTTAATTCATTAGCTTTGCTTTTAAATCCCGCACAAAAATATTAATATAATCACTTTAATAAAAATGACAACTTATATTGAATACGGAGTAAAACTTACAAATGGTCAAAAGTCAAAATTGGCTTCGGTAATATTAAATAAATCACCAATAACTCTTCGGTTAAAACATTCTCATCTTAAAGGTTCTGATGAGTTAATGCTAACACGCAGACAAATTAATAAAATAAAAAAATCGATAAAAAATGGAACAGGATCAGATATAAAAATAAGTAAAACCCAGATTAGACGGTCTGTAAAACATGGTGGAAACTTATTTTCATCACTTGCTTCTATTGGAGCGCGAGTACTACCATATGCAATAAAAGGATTATCTAAAGCTGTTCCTGCATTAGCAACTGGTGCTGCTACTGCACTTGGAGAACTTGGAATAAATAAAATATTTGGAAAAGGAATTACAATTCCAAAAAAGTTTTTCCCAATGATACACGCTATTAGAGGAGAATTAAATAAATCACAAATAGATTTGTTAAATAAAGCTTATCAATCAGGTGGACGACTGGTTATAAAACCAACTCGTAAACAAATAGAAGGAGGATTTCTTGGAACTCTTGCATCTATTGGAATTCCAATGGCAATTAGTTTGGTATCTAAGATGTTTGGATCTGGACTGCAGGTTGATAGACGTGGAACATCTAATACAGCAAATGTTTACGTTCCACCTCCTCCTCCATCCACACATGGTGAGGGTTATCCTTATCACTTTCCACCTCCTTTTTTAGGTAGTTGGGAAAACCCAATAGGAATGGGAGTTAAAAAAAAAAAAGCCGGCAGACCATCCAAGTCCAAAGGAAAAGGTCTACTACTAGGAAAAAACAGCCCTTTCAACTCAATCCCCATTCTAGGAACCATTTTGTAATTAAACCACTGTCCAACTTTGACCTCATGGATTGGATAAAAAGACTTGGTATTAAACATTTTAGAGGAATATATAGCCGTGATGGACTACCTAATAAGATGCGTAAAGAATGTGGAATAATTAATCTTGATGACATGTCTGGACCTGGAACACATTGGGTTTGTTATAGAAATATAAACAATATAGTTGAGTACTTTGATCCATTTGGATTGATAATGCCAAATGAAGCATTAAAGTATTTTCATACTTCTGGAAAACGTATATTTTACTCAATGGATGAAATACAAAATCGTATTATTTGAGCGACAACGTGGTACTAGTATTCTAGATGTAATACATAACCCACATTTTGATGATGACAACAGTGATTTTGTAAAAGCATACTTTGGAGGATAAAAATAATATTTAATAAATATTATTTTTTTTAATCTTCTTCAACTGGTGTTTCCTTAAGCTTTTTAACCTTTTCAATTTTTGTATTTAAATCGTTAACACTATCAACTAAATCAATAAATTTTGAGTAAATGTCAATAAGACGATAAAGTTTCTTCTTTTTATCACTATTTATCTGCAACCAAGAATATTCCTCATTTCTTATTCTTTTCCACATATCACTTTCAGCTGCAATTAGTATTCTAGAAAGATCACCATTTTCCTTTCTAAGTGTCTCCAACTCATTATATATTTTTTTCCTTACTTCCTTTTCAAAATCTTTTATTGTTTTAATATCCATCTTTTTCTCTATCTCGGAAAAGAATTTGGCCTCCATTTTATTATATAAACAGATAATTTCCTTTTATAATATTACTTAAAGTATTTGATTTCTCACTTATTTCCATTAACAACTCAAATATTTTTATAAATCTAGAATCATTTTCCATTCTATAATGCACAGCATTTTCATAACTCATGTTTAGATTATTGTATATCTTTTGAAGTTCACTTTTAACAAAATTAGATCTAATAGACATATTTTATCTAAACATTATATTAAATGAAAGAATCATATTGTATTGTAGATAAAAGAGTAACTCCTTGCACAGAGCCCAGTGGTTACCAAAAAGATAAAAGAGGGCGAACTCAATTCTTTTGTAGATGCGCAGTTTGTGGAAATAAAATAGTTAGATATGTCAAAACTGGATCTGCTTCTCAAACTGGAAGTGGTAAAAAAAGAAAAACAAAAAAGAAGTCAAAAAACTAATAAGCCCGTCAGGGATGGCGGGCAAAGGTGTTGGTGATGCTGTTGGCCCAATCAAAACAGGAATAAATGTGGGTCAAACAATTTCAGAAACCTTATTTCCTCAAACAAAGCAAGTATTCAAAGATAATTGGTCTGGTGATACTGCTAAAGGTGTTGTTAATTCAGAAGATGGTATATTTACTTCCAATTTCTGGACGGGTAAAACAACTGTGTTTCGTTCTGGTGGTAAAAAATTTTATCTCAAAGAAGGTTAACCCATAATGATTGTTAAGCAAAATGGAAAACAAATTGGTTATGCTCATGTAAGAGATTTTTTCAGTGGTGGATTAGGAACAAACAAAATATACAAATCTGTAGCGGAAGTTAAAAAGAAATATGGTGGTGCTCTAGCCAGAAGAAAACCTACGTTAACAGATAAAATAGCAGAAGGAGCAGCAATGTTTGTAAATCCAACTGCAAGTTGGCCAGCAGCTTTTATGAAACTTGGTAGTCAAGGTTTAAAAGGTGTGACTGACAATATTCGTCACTATAGAGGTGGTGCTGTAGATATCCATAAACAGATTGGTAAATTACCAAGACCTGCAGGTGGATGGACCTTACCAGGACATAAATATACAGACCCTTATAATGATCTTGAAAACCAAGTAAGATATAATCCAAAAACTGGTAAAATATTAAAAATTTATGATCAACCTACAGGACCAACCGATGCTGTGGCTATGCAGCATGATGTTGATTATAGTGTTTGTGGTGATGACCGAAAGTGTAAAAATAAAGCTGATAGAAAGATGGTAAGATCGTTGGATGCAATTCCTTGGAAAGAAAGACAATGGGGTCATTGGTTGGCTAGAACAATAATTAATACTAAACAAAAACTTGGAATGGGAACAAAAAACGTAAAGCGGCGTTGAGTAGTGATTGGTCTCAACAATTAGCCGACGAACTTCACAAACCAATCACACGAAACTTTCAAAAGAGATCAGTAATCTCAAATGGGATTGATGATATCTGGGCTGCTGATTTAGTTGAAATGCAAAAGTTTAGTAAGTGGAATAAAGGAATGAAATATCTTCTGATGGTTATTGATGTGTTTAGCAAATATGGTTGGATAAGGGGATTAAAAGATAAAAAAACTGAAACTGTTAGTAAAGCATTTGATGATATATTCAAAAGTAAACGTAAACCTCAAATGTTATGGACTGATAAAGGTTCTGAGTTTATAAGTAAACATTTCAAAGATTTTCTTAAAAGTAAAGGAATTAGGTTGTATCACACTGAAAATGAAGAAAAATCTAGTGTTGTTGAGAGATGGAATAAAACAATGAAAAACAGAATGTGGAAAATGTTTACAGTTAATAACAACACTGTTTACTGGGATAAGTTAGATAAACTAGTTAATGATTACAATAATTCGAGACATTCTAGTATAAAAATGACTCCTGTTGAAGCAAGTAAAAATAAAAATAATAAAATAGTTTTGTCTAATTTGTATGGCGATTTTATTTACTTAAAACCTGGTAAATCAAAATTTGTGATTGGTGATCGTGTTAGAATTTCTAAGTATAAGAGAAAGGTATTTGATAAAGGTTACACACCAAACTGGACAGAGGAACTATTTGTAATTGATAAAGTTTTACCAACAAAACCTATTACATATAGCATTGTTGATTTGATGGGAGAAGAGATTAAGGGTTCTTTCTACGAGCAAGAACTACAGAAAGCAAAACAACAAACTTTTAGAATAGAAAAGATAATTAGACGAGATAATAAGAAAAAAATAGCATTAGTAAAATGGAGTGGATATCCTGATAAATTTAACTCATGGGTTACCTCAAAGGATTTGGTTGATTTTTAATACAAAATTTGTATTAAAAATAGTTATTTACTTAGTTTCTTCTTCATCAGATAAAAGGAAGTCTTCAACTACTTGATCAGTTATCTCTTCACCTTTACTATCACTATCACTATCACTATCACTATCACTATCTTCCTCTTCAATTGTTAGTAAAGCCTCTCTTGGTTTTAATGGTTTGACATAGCACTCGTGTACTTTTATTTGTAAAGATGTAACAGTTTTACTTATAAATATTCCTTCAATTATCAATGCTAATTTAACATTACAGTACTGGTTAATATATTTAAAAGGATTTAAATCACGACCTCCCTTTCCCTTAAACAAAGATAAAATTTTCTTTGATTTTTCTGAGTAAATAAGTTTTGCGTAAAGAACTGGTGCTGATGCATCATCAGTTTTTGTTCTCTTTTTCCTTTCTTGTCTGTGTATTCTATTTGTTTGTAGTAAAATGGTGAAGATAGAGTTGATGCTAGATCTGGTCCATATTCATTCTCTAAATGTTGCTGAGATAGAGTTGTTACATTATTAATAACATCAAAAAATGCTTTTTCTTTATTATTAGGTTCACTATCTTTAGCCCAAAGACATACTGGAATACTATAACCTACTAACTTGTTTGTTTCTTGATTTTTCTTTTCATTAACACCAAAACTAAAAAGAACTGGAGATTCTAATACTAAAGCTCCTTTCTTTCCATTTGGATATTTTACCTCGATTGGGATACGTTTGTATTTAATCTTGCTATCTTTGACTTTGTACTCTTTGGCTTCATTAAAGATAATATTCTCTTGGTTAATATTTTCGTAACTTGTTAACATCATTTTATTAATATTTAGTTAATCTTTAAATCATAAATCAATTTTATTTTTTAGGCCAAAGAAGCTTTGTTGACCAATAGTTTGTGATTCTGGATTATTATAAGTTAATTCTCCCTGTTTATTTTTAATCTTTGCAGCTCTAGAAAGATATTTATCTCTTCGCTCTTTATCTTTGTGAATAGTGTAGTCTGGATATTTTGGTGATCCAAAATGAACTTTTTTCCCACCTGGAAGTGTGGCCATGTATTTGTTATTTTTTCGGGTTGAATAATCAAGTGATTCAGCACCAAGCTTTTTAGCATTTCTGGTTAGTTTTTTGAACTCTGATCCAGTAACAACATATTTTTCGTTTGGAACATAATCTGGATCCTCATCATGTCTATAACCATCATCAACTATAAAATCCAAATCCTCTTTTGTAGGAGTAGTTTCTCTTGATCTTGGTTCCATTTTTATTAGTTGATTATACTAATTCTTCATTAAACTTTTGTTCCCTTCATCCATTTATATAATGTTTGGAATAAACTAAATTTGGGTGGAGAAAAAAGATTAACATTCAGTATTTTATAAGAATCTTTAATATATTTGTTAGCTACTTCTTTTTTACTAGAACCTTCTTCTCGAATTTCTGGATTTGGATATTTTTGTAACATGGAATATAATAAATGATCTTTATCGTTTTTAATTAGTTTTATTTTTTCATCAAATGAATAAACAGTGCTTCCAACATAAACTTGTTTTTCAGGAAAATGTATTGAATAAACTTTCTTTATATCTTCCATTGTTTTATTTAATTTTTTTTCTTTTAAATCATTTTTAAAACTTATAACAAAAATGTTATAAGTTTAGAAATTATCACTATCGCTATCATCATCACTATCTGGTAATACTATATCAAAATCTTCAATATCACTATCACTATCACTATCGCTACCTTCATATTTTATTTGATTAAAAAATACTTTAAAAATATCATAAATTTCTTTAAAACCAGGATAAGGTTTACCATCAACTAAATACTCACCATTACCATCATCATCACTATCATCATCACTATAATAATCATTATGATCACTATCTTCACAAAAAGCATCCTAACGTAATTTATAATAACCAAACTGTTGATTAATAAATATTAAATTATTTAAATCATCTATTTGAAACATAAGATTACTAATATCCTTAATTTTACCTTTTTCTTGTCCTCGTAAAAATCTTTTCATATTATACTTAATTCTATTAGAAATGTTACTCTCAAATAATCCATTATTTAGGTTATCCAATTTATTTATCAGATACTTAAATTCCTTATTTAATCCTCTAATAAATAGATATTCACGTTTATATTCTGACGCATAAAATGGGATTTTATTATTCATTTTAATGAAATTTTTAAAATCTGAGTAGCGCGTGTGAGATGCCATTTTACTAACTACTCAACCAATCAGAACGAAGCATTGATAATAGACCACTAGTTGGATTTTACTAAACAGAAGATATTCACTAATTGTAAATTATACAAGGAGTAATGTATTCATGCTACAATTTATTATGTATTATCGCCGAAGGAATAATTGATACCCACAGCCAATAAAAATGCACATTTTCTTAAGGATGCCTAAAGCCATCCACACTGCGAGCAGAGCCTCTATTTGTCTTCTTGAGTGAGGAGGAGAAAAGGAGGCACTGTCTGAATCACGTCAAACCTTTGAGGTCACCCCATCCCAAACTTCAGGACAAGTCAATGTTATTCTCTCTCGTCAAACTGTTTTTTTCGAATACGAGGATCCATTTATTGACAGAGCGATGATCATAACCCGGAGACCGCCGTAGAAAGCACGCGGCTATTAGGCCTGAGTTCGAAACTATATCCTAGCAACATGCCAGGCATGCTCAACAAAGATCTTACTTGATTCATGCAGAGTCTTTCTCGAGTACGCCAAACTTGAGCAAGCGAAAGAAAGCCTCTCCTGGCAGGCAGCGTTCATACTGTGGCATGAGTTAGTCACCTTGCGTTTAATTTTTAATAGTAGCAAAGTGATATGAAGACGATATCTTAGGCTTAAAGGTCAATGTTCATTTTGACTAGGGGGAGTTTTCGGCTTCTTGATTCTCGTCTAATTGGATCCGGGGGTATTTCCTTATGAGAGGCTAATGAGGATGTGCCGCTGGATGGGGTCGCATTTGCAGGACTAGATTGACTATAATGAGTTCGCACATTTTCTGATTTTTGGGGTAAGACAGTTCAGTCTTCATATTTCCGGTTAGCAAACGTACCAGAATGTTTGTACTGTAGGTGACAAGTAAAGTGTTCTTCATTCAACTTATAAAATGGGTCAGTTCATTTTAGGATGACCCATTTAAAGGATTGATAAGGTATTACATAAATAGAAAGTGACTCAGTTGGGATCGCGAAAATTACGTATTTGCCCAAAAGTGACCAAGATGGGGTCTATAATTGGCCACAGAATAGACTATAATGGGCTAGGGGCTCTGAGAGGCAAGCAGCACATACCCAGCAAAAATTAACCCAAGTTCCTCCTTGTCCTCCCACCACCACCGGGAATTTTTTTTTTCCTGTCAAAAATAATGCCTCGCTGAAAAACACTGTCATCTACACTGCACATGGTGTTAGCCTGTACACAGGCGTTGTTTTATTTTTCTTTTCCTTTTTTTTTTTTTTTTTCGAAAAAATCGGCAAGCGCGGAGCGCGAGAAAGAATATCACCCACGCTCGACAGACTTTGAAGAGAAAATAGAGGATCTGTGAACAGGCTAACATGGTGTAGGGTGCGTGGGCTTAATAACATTCACCTGGCAGCTGAAAGTGCCAAAGAGTTCCCACTTTTACTTTGTGTTGTTAACAGTTAGCAGTCACGCAACAGAGTACAAAGAGCATTATTAGAGCATTTTTTTCACCACAACCATCCTTCTTTCCAAAAATGGTCTGAATGAATGTTTGCTTGGCTGGTTTCGTTTCCATAAGCTGAAAATTAAAACATTCAGCCAACCTTTATGATATAGAATAGTTTTCAGTTAAAGTTACTGTTTTAAAAGGCATCACACCGCAACTAGGGATATCGAAAGTCATTATTTTGCGTAGTTGTTGTCGTTTAATCAAAACGGGATCTCATTTATGCATGGGTCATGGAAATCTGCAGGTAAATGCTCTTTTTCAAAGAAAACCGAAGCTTGAAAGACAATAAGTTATCGTTAAGAAGAGTGCAGTTAACGCAATCTGGTTCAATTTTTCTTTGGAATTCACTAGTTAGCATATCTAGAACGAGGGGAAAAACGTATAAGCTCCCCGCCAAGTTATAGGCCCTTCTTTTTCTTAAAAGAACCCAACGAAATGTGCTTTCATCTGAGCGAACAAAGGCCAAAAGGTAGGTTTTTTGGGCCCCTATAACTTCGGAAATCACACCAGCGAAGGAAAAGGAAAGGAGAAAAAGAATGAACGAGAGGAAGAAAGGGGGAGAAAATAAAAGTAGCAGTTGCACTGTCTCTTAGTTTTTATAATGGTTACTTTGGAGATAAGTTTTTGGCCGAAAAGACTTTTAGATGATAAAATCCGCTTTTGTCATTACACACTAGAGTTTTTGAACGATCATTTATTTATAAAATCACACAGTAGCCTGCTAATATGTTTGAATAGGCTGCTTCGATAGGCTGCTAATATGTAGTTACCAATTCCATTTTTGCCCACGGTAATGCCGGAAACACAATCAATTTTCCCCCCTCTAAAGAAAAATCAAAGTCCTCAAATTTTGACAGCATTGTTTTGCACCCCACACACATTATCTTCGTCTTTTTAACATTAAGAGTCAACCTATTATAGGTATACCAGTCCGAATAAGGCTAAAGTGACGTTGCAAAATCTTGTTTAACTTGAGTGGTGTTGTTGCAGAATATAGATAACATAGCATCGTCCGCACATAAGATCATACGACTCTTTTCCACCGCTGTTGGTAAGCTATTGACATAAATGTTGAATAACAGGGGTCCTAAAATACTCCCCTGAGGGACACCAAGAGCAATTTGATGGGTCTCCGACAACTCTCCATTTACATGACAGTGTGACAGTGAGACAGATGACAGTTGTGCATTCACAAAGAAAGACATTCAGAACTTCATTAGGATTTTATAGCCCATGTTTACCACCTTATATTTTAGTCATTTCTCCATCACTCACAAATCATTTCCATGGAAAGGGAAGAGCCATTGGAATTAGGTCACCAGAGCAAAAACTGTTAGCGAGACAACTGAGCAAAATTGTCATTTTAAACATAGGAGTTCCTTGCTTTTCACGTTACAAACCTGTTTCATTCTAAAACTGGCAATTTGGCTTTTTTATGTGCAGAAAGGCCAATTTAAAACAAATTGGTAACTTTGTTTAACCCTACCAACAATCATCAATTTTCGTCTCATTAGTGCAGCGATATGTAGGTAGAGGAGTTATCAAGTGCGATAACGCAGCAAATCTACCGTTTGTTTGTTTAAAGAATCACCGTCATTAAAAAACCAAGAATCTCAGGAATCTCAGACCTTTTGTGCTGCTCGGAACTGATACGCAGCACCGAAAGGAGGGACGTCGTTGTTTTACTAAAATGGCCTAGGGCTCAAAAGCCGGTAAAGGAAGGAGACGAAGAGTGTGGAAAAGAGGGGAAGCGGGGATAGAGGTACTAAAGAATTAAAGAATGTTAAAATACCTAGTGACACTTTGTCTGGTTTGTCGTCGTCGGAAGTCGAAGGCGTTACAGATTCTGTTTCTTCTCCACGCGATTTACGTTTTCTCCGTATTTTGTCACGGTCAGTGCATCTCCTGACCTTTAGGGAGCATTAAAAACATAATCATTTTTCAAACACTAATCAAGTGTAGTACGTCAAGTTCATGTCAGTGACTACAGCTACAACGATTTTCTGTTCTTAAACTGTTGTTGTTGCTGTTGTTATAATAGAAAAATGATTTTTTTTTTTTACTTAAGGCGGTTTCCATTTGTCAGAACTGACCGGCCAGACCATTCCCGCCGTTATAAGAATCTCACGTTTAATCAAAATTATCCAGCCAGAATTGAATGAGTGGACGGATAAATGAATAAAACGAATGAGCAAACGATTGGTTTATTAATTGGTTGATTTATTCGGAAGAAATGATTAAATGAAGGAAGGAAGTAAGGAAAAAAGATTGAGTGAATAGATCAAGGGATGGATCAACCGAGAAAGGACGGAAGGAAAGGAAGAAAGAAGGCAAGAAAGGAAGAATAAATGAAGTTATTATAAATTCAAACATGGTTAGTAGAGGAAAGCCGGCAAACATCAAAGATGAAATAACGGTGCTGCAGTTTACGTTGGAAGCTCTCTGACCGAGTACAATCCTATGTTTTTTGTTCACAAATTGTGACTGAATAAATCAATGCGATATTTCTATTGGTCAGTAAGTTCAAAATGATA